TCACCTTCTCCCCCACCCCACCTCCCGGCTCTTGCTCGCTCGCTCCCCCCGCTTTCCTTTTAGCTTTTGTAAGTTACACGTCAAAATGGCCGATCTGACATCGGCGCTCACTTCTGTTATGTTTTCTCCCTCTAGTAAAATGTTTATCGGTGGACTGAGCTGGCAGACCTCACCAGGTAAGGGAGGGAGGGGGGGACGCCTGGGTCCCCCCCTTCTTGGCTTCTTTATTGCTCTTTGTTATCCCGGTGTAGGAGCCCCCCCTCCCCGCCATTGACTCCCCACTTCTCCTGTGCAAGGTTATTTTTTTAAATAGCAAATCCTTTCCGAGCCCTCTATGCGACCTCTGTTGCCGAATTGCCCCCGCGTGTGCGAGAAATGCAAAACCAAAACAGAATAACAACAGAAAACTACTTTTGGTTTTTGTCCTTGATCAGAATTTGCATTGCTCCCCCCCACCTTCTCCCCCCACCCCCCATCTCTGTCTTTCTCTCTCTCTACAGATAGCCTTAGAGACTATTTTAGCAAATTTGGAGAAATTAGAGAATGTATGGTGATGAGAGACCCCACTACGAAACGCTCCAGGTAAACCATTCTGTCCTGAATTTTGTCTTTATTTTAGAACAAAGTTTAAGTCTTATTTTTGGAGGTGTCTTCGGAAGCAACTGAGCGGATTTAGAATGGGACTCAGGGTAGTGGATGGTGTCGAATGTCGCTCTCTCATAACCCTAAGGTTATTGTTAATTGGGGCTGAACTCTTGCATCTCTGCGCTTTAAACCATCTCCCCTTCGCTGCTTTTTCTCCTGTTTATAATGGCATTTAGCTTTCATTCACTCTTCCACGGAGTTTTTCTTTCAATGTGTGCTTCCCCCGTACGCCCAGCACCCCCAGAACTCCTCAGTCCCCTCTTCAGAAGGTGGGTCAGGCTCTGGGAAGTGCCAGGTTTTCTTCGGAATAAAACAAAGCGTTAAGAAAGGGAAGGGGAGGAGGGGCAGAGGAAACTGAAGTGGCTGAACAGAGACACCAGCGTTTTCCAAGTTACCTCCACCCGCCTCTCCCGTTCTGCTCCCCCCATGTTAACGTTGATATTTCCTCCGGCCGGGTGGAGGGCTGCTGGCAGGAGGGGGGTTGGGGGAAGGCAGCGGGCATCCAGGGTCCTTCGGGGGCAACTTTTGCTCCCAGTTCTGTATTAGGGCTCACTCCTTGTTGCTTGTGAACGGTGTCACATTTTCTTGTTTGTTTTTCTCCCTCTTTGTCTCATTTCAGAGGCTTCGGTTTCGTCACGTTTGCAGACCCAGCAAGTGTAGATAAAGTGTTAGGTCAGCCCCACCATGAGTTAGATTCCAAGACGGTATGTTGCTTTTTGTTTTTGTTGTTGTTCGCCCCTTTGCAAGAGCGGGTCTGGGCATTGACAGGCTCATTTAAAGGGACAGCGCCTTCTTTTGCCTCTCTACTGGGAACTGGGTAGTTGCAGGCAGAGCTTGCGAGTTGGCTCCAAAGTTTGCTGTGATGGCAGGGTTTGGGGTTTTCTTTGCACAGCCTGCCGTCACTGCAGCTTCGGAGGCTGCTCGCCGGAGGCTTGTGGGGCCGGCTATGGCACCTGGGGGTGTGTGTGGGGGGAGGTTATCTTCCAGCCTGCGACCCTGCTCAGAAACTCCCCCAGAGAACTTTTCTTTGTCAGCCGTGCTCAGCCATGCCAACTGTGACTTGTATTGTAGCGATTGGCTTTTGGAAGGCTCCTTGGGGGTAAATTTAGGCGGGGGGGGGCGGGCAAGAAGAGGAGGGGGCGGGCAAGGAGAGGAAGGGGCGCTAATCCTGGATCTTGGCAACAGGTTCCTCTTGGGACACTTGGTTTTGGAGCGAGACTTAAGCAAGCAAGGCAGGAGCTCGCTCGCAGAGCCAAACTGGGCATTGGGTGGCCTATTCCAGATGGCCTGAAATCCGAGGCCTTATCGGCCTTGAGTTTCAAAGTGTTCGTCCCCTCTTTTTTCTTTCTCAGATTTTAAAATTTAAGTGTGAGTACTTTTATGGCATTGGGAGGTTTCTAAATCGGAACTAGAGAGGGGAATGGTTTCTAGGTAGACATCACAAGACAAAGACGAGAGTGTTGGTAAATTACAGTTTATTAGATGAAAATAAATGTAATGGGAATGGAATAAAAAGGGAGGTGGAGGTTTTATTTAGCTCCTGTGCTGGCTTTGCGCCTCTCACCCCTTCCTTTTATGTTCAGTGCCATTTCCCTGCAATTTTTATGCATCTGTCTTAAGCAGGGACTCCGAGGTGACATTGAGATGAGGCTCTGGGCTGCGTGGGGCTTCACTTGCCTGTGGTGGGGTAGAGGAAGCAGGCTAGAAGCAGATACTGATCCACGCTGCCGGTCCTAACTTGCTCTCTTGACCTTGGGCAAGTTGCTCGCCGCCTCTGAGCCTCAATTTCCTTTTCTATTAATGAAAAAAAAAAAAAAAAGAAAAGAAAAAGTGACCTGAAGTGATCTTCCAAGCTCCTCTCTCCTCTAAATTGAATGGAAGAAAAGGAAAAAAACCACCAAAAACAAAACAAAAAGCAAACAACCCTATATTCTATTGTGCACTGGAATTATTTTTGCAAATTCAGCCTTTCTGAGATGGAGGAGACCAGGTGTGGGGCCCCCTCCCAAAAAACCCCAACATTGCGCATGCACGCGCGCGCGCGCACACACACACACGTACACACACACACACACACACACACAAAAATCTATTCTAAGGAAACAAACCCTTATGCAATTACTTGAGTTGCCTTATTAGTTGTCCTGGACTTGCCCTAGCTTGTGGTCCAGTCTTTTTTTGCACTTTTCAGATCATTTCATTTCATTTTAGGAACAATCATTTGTAGGGTGATGAAGAATGTCTGAAGATTGGTTTTGTGTTTTTTTTCTTCCTCGATTTCTTGGCTATCGACGTTTTAAAAAGCTAGTAAAGATTAAAGAAGGAAAACATTTTGCAGCAATTTCTGAAATTTCTTTTGCATCACTCCCCAGTCCTCCCTGTGGGAGAAATAGCATTTGGTTGCTACAGTGTCTCAGGGGTTATGTCCTTCAGTCTCAGGTGCAGAGCCCACAGTGTCTCTCCCTCACCCCTAATTGTTTGTAGACTTGTGTTGATGGTTATTCTCCAGTATAACCCAGCTTTTGACTTTGTTTCAACGTTCAGTGCAGGAGGCAGAAGCGATTGGTTTATTGACATGGAAACGAGGATCTTGTTTACCGTTACCTTAAAAGCTTTGTTTAGGTAACGGCCATTTACATCCAAAATAGTACCCTAGTCTTTTCCTAGAGGATTTGTAGATACAGTAAGTAGAGCTGTACCTAACTAACTAATGTTTTAATTTTTTTGGTAGTCTTTTTTTTTTCCTCCCCTTTTTCAGTAGTTGAGAGGGATGTGCAAAAGGTTGGGATTTGCCATACTAAATCTGGACCCTCCTCTCCCGGAGGTATCGTGGCGTGCAAACTTTTGCATCCTGGACTGATCATGGTAAATGCTCAGTGCAGCACACAGTCCAGGAGTTCCAAATTGGCTTTTCATTTTCTGATTATGAATTGTTTTACTGTTCAGCTCACTTCAGAGACCTCTTGAGCCCTCATGGCTTCGCCTTCTCCTTTTACTCACCTTTTACCACACCAACAAGGTGACTTCTCTTACTGCAACTGTGTGCTGCTCAACTAAAAACAAAGCAAAACAAAAACCAAACAAACACAAAAACCAAAACCAAAAACCCAACAGTTTTTGGGATGTTTCTGAGAAGACATATCTGTCTTCCATTTGGTCAACAGAATGGAAAATCCACACCTGTTGTATTTCTCTTGTAGACAAGCTCTAGTCAGTGCTCAGCACACCTGTAGCTGCAGTAATGTTAATCTTTATCGAAGGATAGTTTCCTAGATCCAACACTTTGGTCTGTTTTAGTTTTGAGGGGTAAAAAAAAAAAGATAATCTCTCATTTCTCAGGTGATGCTTAAAAGTGGAAAAAACATTGCAGACTTTTATTAGGTCTTTAAGCTGTCTTAATAAAAGCAGTAAATCCTTACATGTCTTCCTGGCCGAAGTCCTTGGGGATGAAAATCAAGGAACAAATGAGCGGTCTGTAGTGTATCTCGCCTCACCCGCCCCTCTTTTCCTGAAAGCATCATTTTTTCCCCCAAAGCATCACTCCTCCTCACTCCCCCTGGGCAGAACTGGAAACAAGGTTCAGATTTACATTTTAAAAGGGGAAAATTTTAATATGAAAGCCAGAGCCCATAAATAAATAACTTGTAGCAATATTCATGCCACTCTCCCAGTTGAATTTTACCCAAAGATTTGTGACATTTAGAAATCTAATGAAAATCAACAATGGAAATAGGTTTTATTCCTTCCCTTCCCCACGTTGGTCATTCAGTAACTGTTTCTTGCCCTCACAAGTAGCCTGTTAAGATTCATATGCTTTTGTGGGATTTTTTTTTTTATTAAGCTTGAAGCCAGTCTCTGATTGAGAGTCATGTGTTCTACAAGTGTCTGGGCTTGGGGAGGTATAGGAGGATTTTCCATGGGATCATGGTGGGTTAGGGAAGTACCCTCCTGATTACACTGGATTCTTTTTTTTCTTCAGCAATTTAAAAACTCCCCCCATGATGGCATTTCTTTTCTAATTGAAGTTTAGATTGCTTGTAGGCCGCCCCCCCCCCCAAGGTCATTATAAAATCCAAAAGGATTTAACCCCTGTGCTTCCTTTCATTGTCCCCCCCCCCCCCCCCCCAAGAACCAGATCAACCCTGTGTTTTTTGACTCCTATGTTCTTTTGGTGATAACCACAGGAATCATTCTCTTTTTTATTAATCCTAGATAGTGTTGAAATGAGTGAGTGCATTTTCCCAAACATCCATCCATTTATGTTGGATTTCTGGGGAGAGTTTTTGGACTGTTGTTGTTGGTTTTTTTAGAGATTTGTTTGTTTGTTTGTTTTTGTGTCCCCTTACTTTCCTGTACTATGTTTAAATATCAGGGAGGAAAGAGACTGTACAGTCAGTCACCTATTGCTGGAAGATACTTACATTTAATTTGCAGAATATGATTGTTTTTCAATTATAATGATGCTCCCATCTTTTCTCCCAACCATGCATTACAAATTAGATGCAGGTAACCATTTAATATTCAGTGTCTGGAAGAGAAGCCCTTGCTGACAAAAGCACATGAGAGATCTAGTTTACTGAGAGCAACCCACATTGAAATACATGGTTATATTTCAGAAAGACTATCTGTGTTTATTCTCTTTCATGAGGGCTGGTTAAAGTTCAGATCAAAGTATGAGGAACTTTTAAATTGTCTTGAGAAGTGGCTAAAAAAACTAGATTTAAAAGCCTGAGAAATGAGTGATTAATAACTAGGTAATTAACCTTATTTTCTCTCCTTTCCTTAAAAGTATCTCATTGATTTCTGCTTTTTCCATTTTCCCCCAGATTGACCCCAAAGTTGCATTTCCTCGTCGAGCACAACCCAAGGTAAGTAGGAGAATCAATAATAGGATTTTAGCACTCTGAGATGGTTGCCAAGGATTTCAAGTTTCAAACAGGGGATTGGCAGTGAACCGTTTAAACCTGGTGCATGCTGTTCCTTCAGGGTATAAGCGTGTGGTTATGGAAGTCCAGGAGACGACGAGGTTTGGGAGATAACTCTGTCTCCAGGTTAGCAGTCTGAGCTGGGTTCTGGGCATCAGCTGTGGGCTCGGGGCACGTCTGTTCCTTGGTGGGAGGGCATGGCTCTGTTAGTTGCAATACTAACACAAGTGTTAATATTTATTCTCCAAGCATTTCTGAGATCCTATCAGGAAAATGTGAACATTCCCATGTGTTTTTGGAAGGATAATCATTTTGAGGTCTTACAAGTTGGAGCTTAGGGAGAAGAGTTCATTTTAAGAAAACAGTGTGTACTTTCTTGGGAAAAACTATCTTGTCAACCCACAGACCCCTCCATCTGAGAAAGGGTGTCTTGGTTTCGGTTGGTTGGATACATCAGGCTACGCTTGAAACCAGCCTTGCTTATTTGTACAAGGGCTGTCTCCTGGGCAGAGAAGTTTTGAAAATGTTGTAACCATGCAGGAGTGGTACTACAAACTTGCTGAAAGCATTAGAAAGGGTTTCACTTTTTCAGAAGTGTGTAACTAACAGTGTTATAGTGTTCTCTGAGCTTGCTACACAGTTGCACATAGCTTTAGGTTACAAGACACAGCCTGAAGGGTTACTTATGTGTTAGGTTCACACTGTGTGTGAACTTTATATCCTCTCCCCCCTGGAATATTGAAGAGATACTTTTTCTGTATCTTGTGGTCTTGATATTCTTAGTAGAAGGGGGAAAAGTGGAAACTTCTAATTGAGCTACCAAGTGAAAAGGCTTAAAGAAATAGTTTGTTTCTCTAAGCATGGTCTCTTTGAAGTGGAACTGTTCAATAGGGTAAAAGGGGGTTTGCACGTTAATAAGGAAAAACTTGGTTTTTGCAAGTGGTATCTTGGGAATCTCAGGTCTGTAGCTCTCTGTGTTTAATATGTATATTGTTAGGTACTTGTCCCCATTTTATAGATGAGTAGACTGAGGGACTAGTGGGTTGAGACGTGGTCCTTGACTGGCTCTGGAATGGGGCCTTTTACTGTATATGTTCCTGTATATGTTATGGAAGAAGAGATAGGTTTAGAGACCTCAGTAGAGGTCTCATGCCTTCGTTTGCCTCCTTCCTCTCATTTATAGAAAGAAACCCAAATCCCTAAGTAAATGCAGTACAATATTCTAAGGAGTTTTTCTGATGTTTAAGCAAATAATAGGAATTAATGAAGCAAAGAGGTTAGATTATTCCTGTACTTAGCATAAATTTTGGGACTGTTTTAGCAGTTTAAATGTTGCTTTCCAAACGGCATGATCTTTCACATAACAAAATGTTCTCAGAATGAGCAGTATTTTTCAGGTTTGGCAGAACAGTTCTATCTTGTTTAAATGTAAATCTTCAAATTTCCAGGTTAGCCATTTAATCAGGTGCAACTAGGGCTCAGGTTGCCCTAGAGGGAAACGGGAACAATCCCAGATCGGGTCAAACCATGGGTGACTCTTGTCCTGTTCCCCTTGCTGAGCCTCAGCACCCTACCCCACCCCTCTCTTTGAAAGCAGGAAAGCATTATTTCACCTTCATATACTATGGCATTTGATTTTCAGTGATGCGTTCAATTTGAAAATGGGATAATTGTTCTCAAACTTCTCAAAACATGTCTCCCCACCCCACCCAGCAGTCCCGAGTCTTATTTGTCTATAGAATTGTCAGGTTCTTAGATGTGATTTACCCTAAACCGGCTAAGGGAGGGCTTTTTTTGAGACACTGTAGGCATTTCATAATCATATCTTAAGGTGTTTTGCCTTGTGGTAGTAACCCAAAGGTGGTGCCTCTCAGGTTCAAATCCAGTGATGGAAGAAATGTGAGAAGTCTTCCCACTTGGAATTTACAGCCTCCAAAAACCTGCTGGAGGGTCAGCTATGACTTGGTTTTGACGGGATAGCAAGGAGTTTGAGGTGGTGGTGTTAGTTTTTCTCTTTTTTTTTTTTAAGTGTTTTTCATCTGTTTCCTTCATCTAAAATCCCAGCTCTTTTGCATTTGAGTATTTTCTTTGAGCAGATTCAACTTCTCTCAGCCAGTTTCTTCATCTGCAAAGTGGGAATGATGGGAATGGTTCCTTTTGAGGTTTCTTGTGAAGACCTGGAGAGCCTGGTAAAACTCCCTCACCCTCTTTGTTATTGTGGATTGAACTTTCGTTGTTAGCAAGCCTGTCAAGCCGAGTGAATCTGGGTAAATGGTTTTAACTTCCCAGAACTTCAGTTGCCTCATCTCATTGCATTTTGCTATAGATTAATGGACTAACAAAAAGGTAAGGTGTTTCATAGCCTTACCCTGTATTTTCAGTATTTTTTTTCTTTCTTGTTATATACTGTTGAATCGGAGCTGACTGGCTTAGGAGGAGATTGCTCCGCCCCCTCCTTCTCCAACAGAGACTCTGGTGGATTTGAATCGGGAATCTTTGGTATTGCCGTGCAGCATTTTGCCACTAGGCTAGCAGATCCCCCTCAGTATCCTTTTTGTTAGGTCTTCATGCCATTCCTGTGAGAGATGAAGCAATAATGGGACCACACAAGTTGATGTGCCAGGTGTGGTTCTAGGGTCTTTCTGTGTGACAGGTACTAGCCCATTTTAGAGATGAAGAAACTGAGGAGCAAGTGGAATGGAAAGTGGTCCCCACACACACAGACACCTCTCCTTGGCTCCTTTTCTGATGTGCTGTCGTGGGTGGAAGGATGTGTGTATCTGTGTGTGTGTCTGAGTGAGTTGTGAGGGTGTGTGGGGTGTCACTGTTACAGAGAGGAGACAGGCTGAGAAACGTCAGGGGCTGTGGGGAACTGAGCCACAGCCAGAGTGCGGGAACAGTGGAGTGCCACATCTCCCTGGCCTGGTGATTCACCCTCCTCTGATGATGTCACCCCATTGTATGACATTGTCTGTAGTGTTTCTCCATCTGACTCCTTGGGGCATCATTTCAGATAGTTTTGGGGTTGCTCAATTCCAGTGAGGCAACATGGTGATTAATGAGATGTGTGATGGTTAGGATTTCGTGTGGTGGTTGAGATTTCGGCTGGGTGGAGAAGAAGCGCCTTTGCTGTTTACTGTTACTTTCCAATAGCATTTGAACTTGGCCACCAGGATCTGAGACTGAAGTTAGTGTTGGAGGTCACAGAGCAGCTGGTAGGAGTATAGACTTTGCAGTGAAGGCTGTTTTATTTATTATTTACTTTGCTCCATGAAAGTGAATCCGCATGCATGCTTGGTTCGTGGTGGCTGGAGGATCAAGCCTCCACGTGGAGGCAGGGAGGTGTTTGTAAATGATATGTCAGCATGCGTTTCAGTTAAAATTTCATTTCGCTGCTTCCCGGCTGGCCCTCCTTGCTGATACTTGCCAGAGAACTATTCCATGGAGGTGTTAAAACGAGACGAGTGGAAAGAAACTGTAACTTAATACAAAAGGAAATCTGCGGCAGTGAAGAACAGATTTCATATGCATTCTGTCATAATATTCTTTAATGTATCCTATAAATACAAATCTGTTTTGATCAGAATTTTAATGAGCAACCGAAGGAAGGATTTTGAATCCTGCCGTTCATTTCGCCCCCTTTGCAATGTAAATGCTCCCCGTCTCAAGTGTGGTGTCCTAGGGTTTTATTAACTAGTCGAGGGGCGACACTTTGGAGACTAGTGGCCATTAATTAGGGAGGTACATTTTGATCAGGAGGAGTCGATGGGCCCATTTGCGATCTTCCTAGTTCTCCTGATGATTATTTCATTTTTGTAAAATATGTAAAAGATTCCCCTCCCCAATCTTTTTAAATATTAAAATGGTCGTGCTGTGCTGAGCAGATGACTTAATTTGCAGCCACTGGAGAGGGGAGGGCAAGTGGGATCGATCATGTCATGTCCTTTCTTTGGTCCCTTTGGGCAGAGACAGCTGCCTGCAGGGTTTTGCTCATGCTGTGGGTTCTCCTTCTTGGGTAGAGAGGCTCCCTCGTATCTTGAGGCACGAGAGAGAAGTCTGTTCTCCCCAGCATCTGCCTCCTAATTAGCCTTGTGTGTCGCTGAGCTCCCTACTCTCCCACTTTTCATTCTTCTCTGCAGGTTTTAGAGGCCACAACCTACACTGTTGATGAGGGGAGATTTCATTCCTTTCACATAAGGCCATCTACCTGCAAAGGCAGCTGAGTGACCACGGCCAGCTCACCTAAGCCCTTTCAAACCTCAGTTTCCTCACTTGTAAAATGGGGATGATAATAGGACCTACCTTGTGGTGGGGTTTTGAAGAGGAATGTGAAATTCTTTACTGGGTGCCTGGCACAATGTAAAAACAAAAGCAAACCAAACCCCCAACTAGTTGCTACCAAGTTGATTCTGACTCATGATGACTATCCCCACATGTGCAGCATGGGACTGCTTCATGGAGGTCTCATGGCAGTGACTTTTCAAAAGCAGATTGCCAGGCCTTTCTTGTGAGGGATCGTGGTGTGGGATAGTACACCAACCATGTGGATAGGAGCTGAGCACTTTACTGTTCGCACCACTCTGTCCTACCTCCTCCACAGGCAAATATATGCTGCTATTATTTTTAACTAGTAATAATATTTTACTGTATTGTTCATTGAACATTTACAACAAAGTGGTTTAGAATCCCATCCAACAATTTCTATATAAGTTGTTTCATAATGCTGATTATGTTATTATAAGGCATTGAACATTCTTGCTGTTCTGTTCTGGTGGTTCTGTTTCTATTAGTCTAGCTTCCCTTTCTGTTTACAACTTATTTTCTCATCATTGTTCTAACTGTTGCCTTCATGACCCTGAGACCGGAAGAAGTAGATGATGGTATCTGCCTACCACTGCTGACCTTTCTATAAGGGAGCACAGTAAAAAGTCCGAGGGTAGGGG